TCAATGAGTTTTTTTTTTTTTTCCCAATTATACTTGACATACAATAATATACCAGTTTCAGGTGTATAGCATAGTGATCAGAGATCCACATAACTCACAAGTGATCAACCCACTAAATCTAGTACCCCTCTTCTCCCTTAACATTATTATTATATTATTAACCATCTTCCCCATGCTACACTCTACATCTCCATGTCTATTCTGCAACTATCCATTTGTATCTCTTAATCCCTTTGTCTTTTTCTTGTCCCCCCAATCTCCCTCCCATCTAGTATCTCTCTACATATTCTCTGTATCTATGAGTTTATTCCCATTTTGTTGTTGCTGTTGTTGTTGATTTTGTTCCTTAGATTCCACACGTACATGAAATTATGTGATATTTGTCTTTATCTGAATGAATTCATTCAGCATAATATCCTCTAGGTCCATCAAGGCAATATCTTTTTCCATCCCCTTCCTTTTGAGGGTACCTGAAAGGGGGAGCATGGACTGAGGAAAAGAAAGAAGACAGACAGAATTGCAGGAGGGATCACAGAATCAAGCTGTGTCTGTGTCTGTGTCTGTGTCCCCGAGTTTATTTAGAACACACTATTTATAACATTACAATAAGAAAGACAGTAGTCAAGAATCAAGGTTAGCCAGATTACTATATCTAGTAGAACAATGAGAGTCTCACAACTCAGAACTCTCTGCTAAACTGTTGCAAGGAATGTGCAGTGACTGCTATGTGAACAGTTACCTCCCGGTTTTTCCCAGCGCTTTACAATCTCAACTTCTTACATTGTTGCCAAGTACACAAATATCCTTGTTCCTTGTTATACGTTTTCACATGTCCATAAGTGACTCCCCACAAATTACCCAGAAAACAGCATAGAGTTAAAGATCATTAAAAAGTGACACGTGGCATAAAGTGAGGAGCTCCAGAAAAAGAAAAAAAAGTTAGGGAGAGATAATAAGCAAAAAGATAACGACTGAGGGTTTTTCAGAATGGATGAGAGATGAGTCCTCAGACCCAGGAAAAGAAAATGAATATTTAAGGTAAATGAAAAGAAATAAAATATACAAAACTCAGTCGTGTTTCTACATACTTGCAGTGGGCAATCGAAGTGAAATTAAACAATTCCATTTTCAATAGTATCAAAAATAACAAAATAGTTAGGAATAAATTTAACAAAAGATGTGTAAGACTTATACTCTTAGAAACTCCGAAACATTATTAAAAGAAATTAAAGAGGATCTTAATAAATGGAAAGATATCCCGTGTTCATGGATCAGAAAACAATATTGTTAAGATGGCACTATTCCCCAAATTAATCTATGTATTCAGTGCAATTCCTATCAGAATCCTAGGGGTGGTTCCATAGAGTAGTGGTTAATCCCAGGGGTGGTTCCATAGAGTGGTGGTTAGCACGTCTGCTTTACACACAGAAGGTCCCAGGTTCGAGCCCCAGCGGAGCCACAGCCCATGCCCTGGGCGTGCCAGGCCCCCTAGGTATGCCAGGCCCTGGGTGTGCACCGTGAGTGCGTAGGAGGAGACACCCTGCCTTCAGAGATCCAGTTCTTAAGGGGAGACGGCAACATCCATAGGTCAGGGGTGGAATTGGTGGGGTTGGGGAGGAGGGCGGAGGGGGGAGTTAAAAAAAAAAAAAAAGAAACTCAACTGACTTCTTTGTAGAAACTGACAGGTTGATTCTGTAATTCACATGGACTTGCAAAGGGACCCAGAAAAGCCAAAACAAGAAAAAGAACAAAATAGGAGGACTCACACTTCTCAGTTTCCAATTTTACTACCAACCAGTGGAAATCAAAACCATATGGTACTGAAATAAGGATAGATGTGAGAACAATGAGATAGACTTGAAAATAAAGTTGATCCTTGAACATCACGGGTTTAACTACATAAGTCCACTTACACGTGAATTTTTTCCAGTTGACTCATGCAGTTAAGTTGACTCATCCCACTTCAAACCCTTGTTCAAGGATCAAGGGTTTTTGACAAGAGCACCAAGATCATTCAATGAGGGAAGAATAGTCTCTTCAACAAATGGTGCTTGGACAACTGGGTAGTCACATGCAAAAGAATGAAGTTGGCCCCTTACCTCACATAATATACAAAAATCAACTTAAAATGGATTGAAGACATAAATGTAAGAGCTAAAACTAGAAAACTCTTAGAAGAAAACAGGGATAAATCATAACCTCTGCCCTAAAACCAGTTTCTCCTTGAAGTTCTGTAATTCTCTGGTTGTATAACTTCTTGTCACAGAAATTTTCTGGAACCAGCTTTATTGACTGAAGAGACACTAAGGTTCTTCCCCTTCCTCAGCCTCAGTATGCTCTTTGCTGTGGTGGGGCTAATACTTCTCCAGGATATTCAAGTTGAAGTTACTTGGAATTTGGCCTAGCATATTACTTGCAGAATGATACGCTGGTTTCAGGGAAAATCTCCATTTCTACCCTTAGTGTTTACTATTTTCATTCTTGTCCGGGACTTCAGATTGCAATGCATGTGGATATTTGAGTTCACGTTAGAGAGGCTTTTGTAAGATCTTGCCAGTGAATTAAAGCAGCATGGCATTTTAGTCTTTTTCCCTCATTTCTCCACTAGCGATGTACAATGCCTGCAGGGACGTGGAGGCCCCCTCAAGTAATGACAAAGCCCTGGGACTCCTGTGTGGGAAGGACGCCAAAGACTGCAATGCTACCAACTGGATTGAGTACATGTTCAATAAGGACAATGGCCAGGCACCTTTCACTATCACACCCATTTTTTCAGGTAGGGATAAAGATTCCCAAGGTTGATGTATTTAGGATTTAAAAAAAAAAAACAAAAACTAGAAACCTTAAACTGCAGTAGGAAGATAAATTCAGGTAACTAGTTCCTGGAATGGGCCTCCAACGAGAGAGGTAATTAGAGCATTTATCCTACCCCTGGTTAATTTAGGGGCTGGGTGTAGGAATGGAGGAGGAAGAATTACTTCAAGTAGCACTACATAATTTAAAGAATAAGGTGGGTTTATTTTTTTAAATAAATATTCATAAACTATATAAATGTCTAACCAGTGTGCTGTTTACTTGAAACTAATAATAAAATTTTTAAAATTATTTTTTAAAAAGACCAAAAACAATTACAAAGGCCTTTTCAGGAGCTCTGCAATAGTATTAGACTAGTTCCTCAACGGAGATAAGACACGATTGAAGCTTTACCTTGGAGTGTGATGTACTCGAATCTCAGTGACAGACCCTATCTATGCTCAAAGTTATTGAGATAATTTAAAAATTTACAGAACTAAGCAGCAAACCATAATTTGATCAAACAGAAACCTCCACTCCTTTTTATTTTTCCAGTTGTGTCATGTATTTCGGTTTGTTTATCATTGGATTTAAATATAATTAGATACAAACTTCATAGTGTTTTTTTAATTGAGATATTCACTCAGTGCCATCCTCGCTGCAGATCTTCCAGCCCATGGGATGAAGCCCATGAACAATGCTACCAAGGGCTGTGACGAGTCTGTGGATGAGGTCACGGGGCCGTGCAGCTGCCAGGATTGCTCAGCCGTTTGTGGCCCCGAGCCCAAGCCACCACCCCCTCCTGTTCCCTGGAGAATCTTGGGCTTGGACGCCATGTATGTCATCATGTGGACCACCTACATGGCATTTTTACTTGTGTTTTTTGGAGCATTTTTTGCTGTGTGGTGCTACAGGTAAGCCATTTTGTTTGTCCTCAGAATAAGCAAAATTACTCAAGTCACACTTCCAGCTTTCAGTTGGCAGACCTTGGTTAATTACAACAGAAAACAAAAATGTGCATTAAAACCATTCCATGAATTGCTTATGTCCTGCAACTAGTAAACCATCAAAGTCCTGTTTCGATATTTAGACACCTGAAGTTGGTTTCATTGATTTATTCAAAATGATGTGTGAATTAAAGCATCATGCGTAACCACTCATTCTTTAACAGAAAGTCTTAGGAGCTGAGTCTGATTCAAATCTATTTAAATGCAATATTGGAACCCCTTAGATATTTGCATCTTGATTTAAGATCGTACATTTTTTTAACTTTCATTTCAAAATAATTTTACATTTACCATAAAGGTACAAAAAGGGCATTTATATATATATATAATCTCCTTTACCCAGCTTTCCCTAATGTTACAACTTACATAAGCCATAGTATATAATTATCAAAATCATGAATATAACAGTGGTATAATATTATTAGCTAAAACACAGACTATTCATATTTCAGCAATTTTTCACTTAATGCCCTTTTTTTGTTTCAGGATCCCATATTGCATTTACTTTTTGTGTTTTATTTGTGTCCTCTAATCTATGACAGACAGTTCTCAGTCTTTCCATTTCTTTTATGGCCTTGACACTTTTGATGAGTAGTGATCAGTTATTTTGTTATGTCCCTCAGTTTGACTTTATCTGATATTTTCTCATGATTAGATTGAGGTTATGTGTTTTGACAAGAATATCACGGAAGTATTGTTATGTCTTTCTCAGTATATCCTTTTGGGGCTCATGATGTCAATATGTCTCAATTCTGGTGATACTAACCTTCATCACTTGGTTAAAATGTTGTCTTCCAGAGTTCTCCACTGTAAAGTTATTGTTTGTATGTTGTTGATAAATATCTTAGAGGAGATACATTGACTATGCTAATATTTTGTTTCTCCTTTAATTGTCACCTATTGATTTTAGCATCCATCAGTGAGTCTTGCCTGCAACACCTAACTACTGTGGTGTTTGCCTAATGGTGATTTTGTATTTCCCTCATTCCTTGTACATTTGTAATTGTAATTGGATTTATTCTGTACAGAAAGCTATCCTTTATCCTTCACTTATCTATTCAATTATTTATGTCATGGACTTTTTTTTTTTAATTCTGTGGATTATATCCCATACCATCATTTATTTTGTTGCTCAGATTTTTCCAGTTTTGACCATTGAGAACACTATCAAATTGCTCTCGGTTTAATGTTTTTTTCTTTGTTTTTTCTTTCTTTCTTTTTTCTTTCTTTGTTTCTTTCTTTCTTTTTTTTTTTTTTCACTATAACATTCATCCCCCCTTTTCTCAAACCTGTTCTTATTTTCTGGTATCACAAGATGTTTTAGGCTCATCTTGTATTTTCCCTGCCCCAGCCCTCGAGTCAACCTCCTTTGCAAGGTACCCTGGTTCCTTATGGAGGATGATGTTTAAAAACCCAGATCTAGGCACTAGGTATGCTTATTATTGTTACTGTGACTCAGTGTTTACTGCGTTTTTAAAGGCCCTACAAGTTTTAAATATGAATGAGGGCTACAAGGTGAAATTATCCTTATTAATTTGTTGTCTTTTTTAATACCTTAAATTTTCTCCCAAGAGTAGTGAGCAGAGGGACCTAGAGCAAGGGAACTTAGGAGGGGGAAAAAGGGTGATAATTAGAAAGGATGAGGAAGTACGTTTTTAATGGGATTATGGGAATATCAAAAGAACGGCCTTATGTTGGTGTCCACGGATACTACTTACACACTTTTATTTTTCAGGAAACGGTATTTTGTCTCCGAGTACACCCCCATTGATAGCAATATAGCTTTCTCTGTCAATGCCAGAGACAAAGGTAGGCATATTTGTACTTAAATAGGATAATATTGGCAGGAGTGTTCATTCCTCAACAAACATTTATGTACCTGTTCTGAGGACACAGCTGTGATCAAGAGAGATGGGTCCTTGTCTTTATGGCACTAACAATCTCTAGTCAGCGTGGCAGATCAGAACTAAGTAATTCATAGCAATAGAATTAATGATGGATTGGGATAAGAGCTGTGGAGGCACTAACATAGCAGGCTGACAGCAGGAGTAGCAGGAAAGGTTGAAGGGAACTGCTTTGGACAGAGTGCTCAGAGAACTTCGCCTTTCGGAGGCTTGTGTGTGAGCATCAGTCCTCTGTGGGGTGGGGATGGTGGTCATTATGGGCAGGCAAGAAGGGTGGCTTCCAGAGCAGATAGGTAGCCGAGGGCGAGGGGATGTCGTGCAGGATGGATTCCTACCACGTGCAGTAGCAGCTAATGCTTTCCCTGTTCCAACTTTCAGGAATGGCTCGGCTCTTAACCTCCACCCTCTCTCCCTCTCCCACTCTTCCAGGGGAGGCATCCTGCTGCGACCCACTCGGTGCAGCATTTGAGGGCTGTTTGAGGCGGCTCTTCACACAGTGGGGCTCTTTCTGTGTCCGAAACCCTGGCTGCGTTATTTTCTTCTCCCTGGTCTTTATCGCCACATGTTCTTCGGGCCTGGTGTTTGTCCAGGTCACAACCAATCCAGTTCACCTCTGGTCAGCCCCCAGCAGCCAGGCGCGCCTAGAAAAAGAGTACTTTGATACCCACTTTGGGCCTTTCTTTCGCACGGAGCAGCTCATCATCCGGGCCCCCCACACCGCCACACACACTTACCAGCCATACCCCACAGAGACCGATGTGCCCTTTGGACCTCCACTGGACATAGAAATTTTGCACCAGGTAATCTGCTCTTTGCAGAAATCAATTCCAGGGAACCCGGTGGTTTTCTGGTTTCTACATGTTGACCAGTTCCACTAAATGTAGGTTTGGGGCTGAATGTAGTGGTATATTTGGAAACTCTTAATGGTAAAAGTAAAGTGAATTTTCAAGAAAGTGAATGATAGGTGTTGAATTTAATGAAAAATTTACTATAGACCACTTTTGTATTTGCTGCGTATAGTAGGTCTTGCTTCTTCGTTGAAATTGATAAGCCCTTCTCTGCTGAAGCAGAATGCATTCATGATTAACCTTAGGAACCCATGATTTTTTTTTTCCCTTGGTAATTGAAAAGTAATATACTTGACCCCAAAGAACTGAAGCCTCTTGTGCCATTCCGGGCACCTAGGAAGGAGCTACTGGGTCATTTCTGATCCTACCTGCAGAAGTGAAGTTATCATTTGCCTGCATTTGGTGAGAGACACATTTGGGATAAGATCCATCTCATTCTCTTACACAGGCCTTTAAAGCATTCCATTCTCCCCAGTCACACTTGCCCTGGAGAACTGCATCTGTCTGTAACTTTTCCCCAATTTGTTGCAGAATATGTAACAGCGATTATTTACCTCCAAGAGTGTATTCTTGTTAGAAAATATGAGAGTATACATAAATGATCATAGTACAGAGCAAGGCAAGTGGTAGTTGTTGTTGAGGGGGAGTGTCAGAGAGACCAGGCTAATTGCCCCAGTCTCGCCTCAGTAGCCCTGCTGGTCACTGCTGGGGAAAAGTGGGAAGGAAGACGTTCATGTATCCTGCGCCGAGATCTGGCCTGGTAATGGTGTCACCTCCCCAGCTCTGTGGACTCCTCAAAGCAGGGTCTTCATCTCAGTTTGCTGTCCTCTAAGACTGGGCCTTTGGTGTCATCAGATACTTTGCCATAGTGTGCCTTAGTCCAAGACCCTGTCTTAGGAAGGATTTTCCCCAAATACTCTTTATCTTCTGACCCCCAAAGGCAATAATGGTGAGTCATAATCTGAGAGAAATCTGATCTGTTTCTGGATTAGTTGATTTTTCATATCTTCTTTCAGGTTCTTGACTTACAAACAGCCATCGAAAACATTAGTGTGTCTTATAACAACGAGACCGTGTCACTTCAAGACATCTGCTTGGCCCCTCTATCACCATATAACAACAACTGTACCATTATGAGTGTGTTGAATTACTTCCAGAACAGTCACTCGACGCTGGACCACAAAATAGGGGATGACTTCTACGTGTATGCGGATTACCACACGCACTTTCTGTACTGTGTACGGTACGTGGCAGGACAGTCACTCATTCACCCCACCAGTATTTGAGTACTGGCTGTTGCTACACGCCATTGTAAATACTAGAGACCCAGCAGCGAACAAACAGAGCAGGACCCTTTCCTGTGAAGCTTACGTTCTAATGGAGAGACAGACAATGAACAAATAGATACATGCTCTAATGCCAGGTAGAGATGGGCGCTGTGGAGAAAATAAAGCTGGGCGAGGAGATGGAGGGCAGTGGGATATGCTGCTCTAGTGGAGAGAGGAGCTGTTCAAAGGGAACGAAAGGAGGGAGCGTGTGAATATCAGAGGGAAAAGTGTTCCAAGTAGAAGAGTAGCAAGAGCAGTGGCCCTGGGGTTGAACTTTCGTGGTATGTAATCAAGGAACAGCAGGCGCCTCTCAGCCCTTAGCTTGTGCCTGGATTGATGGCGTGTAGTTGCATCTACCACACCACCCCCTAAGTTTTCTTGAGATGGCTTCTTAAAAAATAAATACCTCTAGTGCTTTTTCTTATCTTTCAAATACAAATGTACATCGTGACTTTGGTCGCTTTTAAAACGTGCAGCATTCCCCCGGGGGGTGGGGAGCAGAATTGGCGTGCAGGTTTACACTCAGCACTGAAGCTGCTTCCTGAAGGCAGCACACCCAGTGAGGCAGGGTGTGTTTGTAATCCAATTAGTCACAGAGGAGCTGTGCTTGGTGGCCTGTGAAGTGATCTTTAGGCTCGTCTCCACAACAGGAAGAGCAGCTTACGCTGAATGAACCCGCCATCCCTGAATGCCCTGCCCTTTGGCCTGACCTGGAGATTTGTTCAGCCAGTCAAACAAGCACCAGGGCTGTTTCTTCATCATGGAAAATTACTCCTTGTCACTTTTGAGTACACTGCTCAACTAACCACATCCCAAGTGTGTCAAGCACACTGACTTCTTGTCTGGTTTGGTGACTTTAAGTTCTATCTGTTCTTGTTATTAGAATATGATGCTTTAGATGATTAGACTGTGTTTACTCTATTTCAAGAAGATCACCTCTAAAAACATCAGCTCTGCCCATAAAACAATAAGTATGTGCCCATATACCCGAAACCAGCATTCTCCACAGAGCAGATGGTACAGGAGAGCCATGGACAGTTTGAAAAAACATTTACATAATTTTTATATTTAAAGAAAAAAACTACCTTCTGTTGTACAAAAGAAAAGTCGACAAAATTTTTTGTTGGAGGAAGACGCATGAGACTTGTGTTTTATCCAAGTGGGGCGTGGTTCAGAGAGGTCTGGGAATGCTGCTGTCAGCAACTCCTGTCCCGCATGGCAAGGATCTGTGCTTGGTGTGTGGTCACACTTGTGTGTCTCCAGCTCTCACTCCTTCCTTACCTTCCATCTTTTCCTGGGCTTTTTCCCCCAGAGGTCCTGCCAGAATGGCAAATCGACCTGCCCAGACCTACTTCTTTCCCCATATTCCCTGTATCATGTAACGGCATCAACATTACCAGGTATTCAAACTTGAGCCTGTATCCCTGAATTCTCCTTCATGTATTTTTTGTGGATTTTAACCTCTGGGCGAGCTTGCAAATCTGTGATGTGGCAGTAGAGTCTCGTGTGTGGGATGCAGCGACCAGCTTCTGGCCACAGCCCTGCAGCCTCTGCCCTGAACAGGTGCCTCACTCCATTCGCCCCTAGGACTCCGAAGGGCAGTGGTTCAGATTACATTTGAGAACCTCCCTCAGTGCCCTGCAGAGTTCTGGCTCATGGTCTGTCCGGAAATGCTGGTTCCATCTCCACTGATTATCTGTCTTCATTGCACTCCTGGTTGTCCTTTGTCTGGGCCATTGCGCAAATCCCCTGACTGTTCACCCTGCTTCCCCTTTCTTTCCCACTCACAGACTTTCTTCCACTTTGCCACCTGAGTTATCTTTGTAAAATAGCTCATGACCCCTTTCCCCCAAATGTCTGGTCCTTCCCCCGTACCTATAGGATAAAAATTCGAACTACTTAGCATGGCACTTAATCCTTTCTTCCATCATCTGTCACCCTTTCCGGCCCCATCCCCTCCCTCAGAAGTCCCTGCTTCATGGTACCCCATGCTTTAGAATCAGGACTTCTCGTTCCTCAAACCGCCATCCTCTTACTCTCTCCTCTCTCACATGCCTCTTCTCCCACAGTTGTAGTTGCATGGAACACCTTCGCTTCCTCCCTTTCAGCTGAATTCTCCCTCGGCCTTACACACCTGGTTCAGGTCTCCTTCTGGTGACAGTTTTCCCCTGTATTAGCTGCTCCATCCTTTGTGCCCCAGGCACCATGTGATATGCATCACCTCCTGATGTATTTGCCTGCCTCTCAGGGATTCTGAGCTCCTAAAGGCAAGTGCTGAGCTCTATTATTCACCTAGGGAACTTCCAGGCCCACATTGTGCTTAGAATGTGTAAATATTTTCTTGAATAAAGGAATGAAAAATAGGATAGCCTGAATAACTGTTAGTCATATAAAAGTTTAGGTCTCTGTGATATCTTGAGGCTTGTTCTAATTGGAAGCTGTTTTCTAAACTTCTTGGCAGGGCTCCTGCCTCTCTGAATGATACCAGTTTGCTCCATGATCCTTGCCTGGGGACATTTGGTGGACCAGTATTCCCATGGCTCGTGTTAGGGGGCTATGATGGTAAGTAAGAGAAGCTTTTGCTTTTCCTATTAAATAAAGTAGTCTTGGTTTTGTCATTAACAATTAAGTGGGGATTATGAAGTTTTCATAAATTGAGCAGTCTTATTAATTTCCTGTCTCTTAAATCTAAAATGTATCTCCTTTGGTTTTAGATTTGGGGTTTTTCTGAATTTAAAAGAAATGGACAGTATTAGCTGTTTTTAGGTTACACATTAGGAAGCTGTCGAAAGGTAAGGACATTTCCCCAGAATAGTGTAGTCATGCTTATTCATGTACTATGTTGTTAAGCTTTGAGGAGTTCTTGGAACCCTGAAAGTTCATCTGTGGAACCCCTAGAGGGAGTCCATGGACCTCAAGTTCAGAACATCTGTAATGGAGAAAAGATACAGTGTGAAATATGCGAAAAAAGGAAGTTGATGGATGTTTTTTTTCTTCTAACCCAGTTGATTAAGAATTCAGACACTTTTGTGGTGAGAGGAATAGTTGGTTTGCTCTCTGCTGATCCCTGTAGCACTTTGGAACAAATTGTACTGGGTATGATAGGGTAATAATTCATGTGACAGCCTTGGCATCTGAAGCCTAATTACAGGCGGCTCAGCAGGTTTTTCTCCACCCTAATGAAGAGGCCAAATAGATATTTTTCTCATCCAGTGGGAGGGGAGAAGTTGGGATGTATATTTAAGTTTTACTCTGCCTCATATAATAAATTGCCATTTCTAATTGTTGGGGAAAAGATGGTGTTACTAACTGGCTAGTCATAGCCATCAAAATTAAACTTGGTCTCTACCTTATTCCTTCCACCAAAATAAATTCCAGATGGACCAAAAATTGAAGTGTGAGAAGTGAAACTATTAAAGGACTAGAAGAAAATACAGGAAGAATTTTTTTTTAAATAATTTTAAATGGAAAAGGCATTTCTAAACAAGACACAAAACCCAGAAGCCACAAAGGGAAATACTGATGAATTTGACTATGTGAGAATTTTAAATTCTGTGTAGAGAATAAACATTATAACGTTTAAAAAGAAAAAAAAAAAGAAAACAAACTGGAAAAAAAATTAGTATACATAACAGCATTTCCTTAATACATAAAGAGCTCTTGTGAAAAACAGAAAAGGTCAACAACCCAAAAGGAAGATGGGTGAAGCCTTGTGAAAGTCAACAAAAGAAGAACTACAAATAACTTTTAATTACATAGGAAAAATGCTCAACCTCACTTCTAATTAGTGAAATGCATCTCACGTCAATCTTTCTGCCTAACAGATTGGCAGAGATCTAAAAGTTTGATAAAGCCCAGTGTGGGTGAAAATATGGGAAAACTGCTGTGTCGATGGAAGGGTAAATTGCTAACTAGAACATAAGCTCCAAGAAGGCAGAAGTTTTTCTTTTGTTCACTGATGTATCCATAGTACCTAAAATCCTCACACAGAAGTAGGTCTCAGTAAAAGTTTTGCTGAGTAAATAAAGGAATGAAAAATAGGATGGCCTCTTTGGAGGGCAATTTGGGAGAATCTATCGAAATTAAAAATGTACATACTTTTTGATTCAGTGATTATATTGTAAGAATTGATTCTACAGATACGTATTTTACACATTAAAAACATTAGGTTATTCTTTATAGTATTTTGTTTACAATTTAAAAAATTGCAAAAATATCCATCAATGGGATATTCGTTAAATTATACTAGAAAGTATAAAGCAGAAAAAAGAATAAAGAAGTTCTTTACGTACTAAAATGGAGCAATCTCAAGATATAAATTTAAAAGCATAATGTGCAGAATAGTACATTACTATTTGTATAAATAGAAAGAGGGCGAAAATATATGTGTTTGCTTGTGCATGTGGAGTATCTCTGGAAAATCGCAGGATGAGGAGGGGAAGGAAAGCTAAGAATAGAAAAGGGGACTAAGGAAGGGGAGGGACTTTGAACACCTTTCTGCTTTGTTTCAGATTTTACCATGCACGTGTTACGTAACGAAAACAGTACTCTTCCTGAATGATAATTTGTGCCTACTTCAGATAGAGCATCCTTTTTATGCGTTAACTAAACTACATAGATACTATTTAAGTGAACTTTTTTGTTGTTTTTATAACACGGAGATATATAGTCTGTAGCCCTAGTGAGAAATCAGAGCCCTAGCTATCTTGTGATTTTCCCCTTGTTTTTATCTAATTTCCTGCATGCTTATAATCGTTGACATCATATTTTTCTTTCCAGATCAAAACTACAGTAATGCCACAGCCCTTGTGATTACCTTTCTTGTCAATAATTATTATAATAATACCGAGAAGCTCCAGAGGGCCCAGGCCTGGGAACGAGAGTGAGTTGCTCACAGGGTCTCAACAACCTGTCTTTATTTTGTGGGAAACTGGACACTAGCAGAGAGTGCTTAAACTTCATTACACACAGCTAAATTGACCAACACAGATCAAAGTTATGGCTTTTTCACTCGGTACTAGTGGTGCTAAGAAAAAAATCTGTAAATTCACTTGTAAACATTGAACAGATATCCCTGCACAAGAATACAAAAGTATATACGCAGAAGTATTCCTTGCATCACTTTCTAACAGTAAAAACCGGAAGCCAGGTGAATGTGCATTAGTAAAGGATAAGTACAGTGGAAAATTGCACAGTCATTTAAAGATAGATAAATAAATGGTTCAAGATGTAAATAAAAACTGCAGTCTGCATGGTGTAGTAAATATATGCTATACATTGCTGTCCATGCCTAGAAAAAATATCAGGCAAATGATCCAGGAAATTATTAACTGTTTGCCACCTCTAGAGAATGGGGAGAGGACAGGGGCCTTTGACTTTTTACTTTATAATGTATTTGCAGTACATTTAAAAAAAAAAAAAAAAACAGCTTTATCAAGATATAAATCATATACCATACATGTCACTTAAAGTGCACAATTCAGTAGCTTTTAGTGTATTCGCAGATGTGTGCACCCATCCTCAATTTTACATTTTCTTTACCTCAGAAAGCGACCCCATATCCTTTAGCTATCACCCCACTATCCTCTCGTCTTCCCACCTCCCGTCCCCACACAACCACTAATCTGTTTTCAGTCTCCATACATTTTCTGGACTTTTTTTTTATATGAACGGAATCATACCTGTGGACGTTCGTGTCTGGCAACTTTCTCTTAGCATAACGTTCTCAGCGTTCATCCAAGTTGTGGCATTTCTCAGTCCTTCATTCCTCTTTATGGCTGAGTAATGTTCCATGCAGTGGATATACCACATTTTGTTTATCCATCAGTTCATGCACATTTGGGTTGTTTCTACCTTTTGACTGTTATGAATGATGCTGCTATAGACATTCATATACAAGTTTTTGTGTGAACTTACGTGATTTATTTATCTTGGGATGAGAATGGCTGGGTAGTATGGTAGCTTTTTGAGGAGCTGCCAGACTGTTTTCCAAAGCCAGCTGCACCACTTTACATTCTCACCAGCAGTGTATGAAGGTTTCAAATTCTCTACATCTTTTCCAACACTTGTTATTATCTGACTTTTTGATTCTACTTATCCTTGCAGGTGTAAAGTGGTATCTCATTGCAGTTTTGATATGCATTTCCCTGATGGCTAATGATTTCAAGCATCTCTTCTTGTGCTAATTGGCCATTTGTGTAACTTCCTCAGAGAAATGTTCGTTCATATCCTTTACCTATATTTAAGTGGCTTATTTTTATTTTGATTATTGAAGTATAAGAATTCTTATATATTCTACAAGTCTCTCATATGATTTCCAAGTATTTTCTCCCATTCTTTAGTTTTGTTGTTGTTGTTTTGTTTACTTTTTTGGTGGTGTCCTCCGAAACAGAAAAGTTTTTAATTTTGACGATGTCCAGTTTATTTTTTGTTGCTCTTACTTTTGGTGTCATAGTTAAGAAATCATTGCCTAATCCAAAATCATGGATATTTATTCCTAATTGTTTTTCTGAGGGCTTTATTGTTTTAGCTCTTACACTTTGGTCTTTGATCCATTTGAGTTCATTTTCGTACATGATGTGAGATAGAGAAACGTTCAGCATTCTTTTGCATGTGGCTATCCAGTTGTCCCAGACCATTTGTTGGAAAGATTATTCTTTACCCCATTTGATAGTCTTGAAAATTAGGCGACCACAGATATATAGTTAATTTCTGAACTCTTAGTTCTATTCCTTTGGTCTATATGTTTGTCCTTGTGCCCGTGTCACACTGTCTTGATTACTGTCGTATTGTCGTATGAAATCTGGACATGTGAATCCTTCTACTTTGTTCTTGCAAAAGGTTTTGGCTATTCTAGGCCGCTTCCAATGCCATGTGAATTTTAGAATCCACTTATCTTTCTGCAAAGATTCAGTTGGGAGTCTGATAAGGGTTGCATTGAATCTATAGATGAACTTTTAAATTTTATTCCATGAGCATATATCTTTATTATACAGTATTTATTTAGAAATCTTTTTTAATAAAAAAGAATGAGACCATGAACCAATTTTTAAATTTGTTCTAAATCTATTTAATTGGTAGAAAATTCAGCATGTCTGGAACTGTCTTAACTTCTAGTCTGCAGTGTAGAAGATCTTAATGCAAGATAAAGGTTAAGTGTGGCTTTTGTGTCATAGAAGTTGAGAAGAAGGTTCTCATTTAGCTGTCACTAAATTGTAACTAAAAATATAAAAATTTCCTTTTTAGATTTATTAATTTCGTGAAAAACTACAAGAATCCAAATCTGACCATTTCTTTCACTGCTGAACGAAGCATTGAAGATGAACTAAATCGTGAAAGTAACAGTGATATCTTCACTGTTGTAATCAGCTATGCCGTCATGTTTCTGTATATTTCCATAGCCTTGGGGCACATCAAAAGCTGTAGCAGGCTTTTGGTAAGTGATGTATGCGTGTTTACTTTGTGTGTCTGTGTGTTAGAAATGACAGTGTACAGCACGATGTCATAGTTTTGCCTCCACTTAATCTTAATACATTATGTCCAAAATTCCTCTGTGTTTTAGTTGTGTATAACATTTTCTGTTCCCTGCATCTGTTTTCTTTAGTTCCAACTTTTTGGTTTATGTTCAACTTAAATTTATTTCACATAGTCCAGTTTGTTCTCATTTGTCCATCTCATCACCTAAGAATGGAGGCTCAGAAAATACATTGCTAGGGAAAACCTAGACAGTTTTTCATATCTTCTCTCAAACTGAGAATTGTACTTTTAACTCTAGATTGGCTGTACCTGTGTAAAGAGAGAAATGAGGATCTTTTAGTAATAGATAGGATAGAAAACAATATCTGACGACTGTGTCTTTGTTGCATCTCTCAGGTAGATTCTAAAATCTCCCTTGGCATCACGGGTATCTTCATCGTGTTGAGCTCGGTGGCGTGCTCGTTGGGCATCTTCAGCTACATCGGGATCCCCCTCACCCTCATTGTGATTGAAGTCATCCCGTTCCTGGTGCTGGCCATTGGGGTGGACAACATCTTCATTCTGGTCCAGACCTACCAGGTACATTTTCACAGTCTCACAGAGCTTGGCGGCGGACCGAGTACCATGTTCCATTAATGTTGTTTGGCTCCATGTGGAGTATTTGTGAGTGTGGGCAATGAGGATGCTTCGTTTCTTTTCCTGTGTGTTGCTTATTAGTGTCCATCACTTGTTCTGTACATTTTGGAACCAAGAAGTTCACCCTCTTTTTGGTTGATGGAATAGATATAAAGTGAGAATTTGGTTTTAAACATGTGCAACATATGTGCAAAAAGGGCTAACACGCTTGTGGAAAATATTTCTTCACATAGTTTAGAAGATTGAAAGATTTGTCAAAGGTGTCACTAAAAAGACAAAAGGTCAACACAGGACCTGCTGATGCAGAAGATGGTCTCTATCAGTTACTCTCACATGGTCCCCTTACCTGCATGGAGACTCAGTGGCATGTCACTGCCACCTGCAGCCTGCATTCTATGTGTTTTCCTGATAATAGGATCCAGTCTTTCCTTGAGCCTCTAATCTATTACCTAGCTCAGAAGTCAGAAATACTCAGAATAAATTAACATGAGAAGTTGTGGGTCCCCCACCAGAGTTTACATACAATAAGTAGATGCCCCTAATCATTTTTCTTTACCATTGAGTTAACACAAGGCAGCAAAGAAGGAAGCGAGGAGGTGGCATTGTTATTGAGAAATTTTAATGTCGCATGTTTAATTTTTTTTTTTTTTTTTTAAGAGAGATGAACGTCTTCAAGGGGAAACCCTGGACCAGCAGCTGGGCAGGATCCTTGGAGAAGTGGCTCCTAGTATGCTCCTGTCATCCTTTTCAGAGACAGTAGCATTTTTCTTAGGTAATTGCTCTTCGAATTCTACCAATCCTATAGGTTGCTAAGTCTGGGAATAGAAGGAACCTGGGTATCTGAATATACCCCTCATGTTATTCCTTTTTTTAACTTTATTCTGTAATTGGAAAGTATCAGAGTGGACCAAAAGAAAAATTGGTGACAGTATCTTGGGTGTCATTTAGGCATTTAGCAAATGTCTTCTTTCTCACATTGTTTTGGGATAGTGTTGATGTTTGGGGTCCAGATACCTAGGACTCCTTTGCCATTTCCCCTCTTTGGCACCATGGCAAATATTTATATTTGAAAATAGCATTCTTGCACAGCCACAGAATCCACAACACAAACATTAGCTTGCAAGATGTTTTCCATTGTTCTCATAGGCATTCTTCCTCCTCTGTACACTCATGGGGAAGCAGCCTCAGGTTCTTGGATCTTATCTCAGTATAAGGAGCCAGAATAAGCTGGAACAAAAACCAACACATGTATTTCTTTTACATGGATAAATCAACTAGCCTTACTCGAGGGGCTGTCTCTGTCCCCATCTCTGGCATGCAGTAAGAGAAAACTGACTACATCCTCTGAAGAAGAGAACTGTCCAGCGAAGACAGTTTGTGGGTCATAAACCTCCTATGCGGGCCACCAGGTCATCTCACACAGCCGTTGTAGGGATATCATAGGTGGCTGCCTTTCAGTACAGACACACTGTTAGCATAGTATTCTTCATTTCCACAAAGCAATGCTCTTTGAAACCTGTGGCCCTTATGGTTCCTTTTAATGGGTACAGGTGCAAAAAAAAGGTTCTTTCTTCATTTTACCTCTATTGTAAGAAAACCATTGTGTGTTGAAAATAGCAGCTAACACTGTGCATCAACATTGGAATGACTTTGGGAGAACAGTAGGAATGTCAGGGATTGTGGCACCCAGCATGCACAGGTCCTGTCTGAAAGAAGCAGTTAGTTATGTGTCGCTGGCCCCGTGCCACTAGGTCCTTTTACTTTTTCTCAAGCAACACTGCGAATCTAGATTTTTGTGTAAAATCTCATTGTTAAATATTGGCTCCTTATTTAAAAAAAAAAATA